GGCCTCCGATGTTAGGCATCAGCCGTGCGAGACTAGCCCTCACTACTGACGCTTTGGCACTGACATGTTCCACCTGCTGCTTGAAGTTGAGTCGTGCATCCAGCATTACTCCCAGATAACAGATAAATGGTTGTGATATGATTTCTTATTCTCCGACTCTCAACTCAATGGTTTCTACCGTTTTTCTGGTGGTGATGAGCACTGCCTCGGTTTTATGCTTGGCCAGTTGCAAGTTCATCATGTCCATCCACAAATTGACTCGTCTGAATGTAATATCAAATACCAATTCTATCTCTTCGAGGTGCTTTGCGACGATCACGACAGCTTCGTCATCCACATATGCTACAAGTTTGACTCCCGTGGGCAATGCTATTCTCAGGAGGCCATCATACATGATGTTCCATAGCAGAGGACCTAAGACTGATTCCTGTGGCACTCCTCCAGAGATTTCGTACACTTCCGTACCGTTCTTCGTGTCATATTTTAGGACCCTATTCGTGAATTAGCTCGCTACTATTCTGCGAAAGTATCCTGGTACGGTTTTTTCGTCTAGAGCCCGCATAACACAGTCCCAGTTAGCGGGGTTGAAGGCATTCTTGATGTCCAAAGCAGCCACCAAGCAGTATTTCTTCTTTCCACTCTTCCATCTCGTTCCAGCGATTGCATCCTTAGCTGCATCAACAACCAATTTGATTGCATTCAGAGTTGACCGTTCTTTTCGGAAACCGAACTGGTTCTCTGCCAGGAGTGGATCGACTAAAGCCTTTATTCTCTGATGAATTATGCGTTCGAATATCTTGCCGGCTGTATCTAACATGCAGAGTGGTCGGTAGGATGATGGTTCTTCCGGCGGCTTTTTTCCCGTCGGAAGTAACACTAGCCGTTGCTGTTTCCACTTCTAGGGAAAAGTCCCTTCCTTCAGGCATGTATCGTAGACGTCCAGGAATAATGTCGGTGCTGCCCTAAGAATTGATTTCAGGGCAATGATAGGGATTCCGTCCAATCCCGGTGCCTTATTATTCCCTACGCGATAGCCTCCTCTATCAACTCATCCAACGTGATAGTTGGGATGTCTTCTGGGTTGAGCTGCTCCAACTTGTAGGTGAATACCGGCTGTTGGGGAAACAGCGCAGTAACAATCTTCTCTAGGAGCTGTGGACACGTAGGTGATGGCATTGGCTGGCATTTCAGGTGGGTCATAACCACTTTGTACGGTCTGCCCCATGGATCTTTCTCGACTTCTGCGACCAGTTCCTTCCAGCAGCGTCTTTTGCTTTCTTTGATGGCTCTGTTCAGTTCTCGACGGGCCTTTTTATACTCTGCCAACAGCTCTGCGGAGTTAGGTCGTCTATAGCCACGCTGAGACTTTCTTCTTTTTTGAAGACACTCTGAGCGTAGAGTGCTAATGTGATCGTTCCACCAGTGCACCGAAGGTCTTGAGTTCATACCACGTTTCCGAGACATACTAGCGTCGCAAGCCTGGGTGACTCTTCTCATTAGGTCCTTGGTCTTCTCTTCAGCAGTTTCTACCATGATCGGATCGCAGTCTAAGGCTACTACTAAAGCAGTGGGGTCGAGAGATTTAACTTTCCACTCAACCGCGCTAGCGCTCCTGTTGTCTCTTGTTAGTTTCTGGCCAGTTGATATTTCCCATAGTATCGCACTATGGTCACTGGCTGTGTAGATGTTCAATACTTTCCACGAAAAACCTCTTCGGGCTAAGCAACTGCTGACAAATGTTAGGTCGACAATTGAGCTTGCCTCTCCCTCGGTATAGGTTGGCGTGTCACCGGTGTTAAGAAGGATCACGTCCAGTGTGGCCATTGCCTCGTGAAGTGCTTTTCCACGTGTATTAGTGAACTTGCTTCCCCAGTCTGCTGCCCAGGAATTGAAGTCACCAGCTAATGCCACGGGAAAGTGTTTTCTTGCGTCCTCAATTAGCCGATCAAGAAAGTCTTCAAACTGTTCATTAGAGAGACTAGGTGGTGCATAGCAGCTGTAGAAGCGGAGGCCATCTACCCATGCTGCTACGAAGCCAGCTTCTTTGTTGTTGGCTGTTCACTGAAAAGAACATTTACCGCAGGACCAGATGTCGACTTTGTTAGTGCTGTCGGATTCCCAGGGTTGATTACTCAAGTGTCTATAAGGCTCACTATAAGAGGGGTATAAGTGTCTATAAGGGGGGGAATCCTTTTTACGGATTCTAGGCATAGATGTTTAGCCTGGATATGTGGCGACTCGACGCAGCGTCACACTAAAACTTGACGCTGACGTCCCTACCCACTAAACCCTAAACCCCTTTCTCTTCTATCCTCTGATCCCCCATGGTACCGCCGTAAGGCATTTTTTCGCGGGGGGAGAAATTAGCTGCCGCTCTTCCTTCTGGTGGCTAAGATGTTATTTCTTTCTTCTAGTTTCTGTCATTCGCTATGTTTCTTTCAATGGAACGCAGCTCTGTAAGGACTTCTGTGGCAAAAGTGTTTGTAGCGTTCCAAGCAGTTTGACTCGACAACATTGTCTCTACTATTGTCTCTGGTTCGATTCTCCGGTTCAGGATCCTTTCTAACTTATTTCGCTGAGGATCAAAACGTGGACACGCAACGAAAACGTGCTCTGCGTCCTCAATAACTCCTGGACAAGACGGGCACTCCGGAGAATCGTCATGCTTAAAGCGGTGCAGGTACTCTCGAAAGCACCCATGTCCAGACAACATCTGCGTTAGATGATAGTTGACTTCACCATGATTTCGGTTCAGCCAAACATCGATCTTTGGTATGAGGCGGTATGTCCATCTTCCTTTTGCTGCGGCGTCCAACTCAAGTTGCCATCGCGAGATGCTGTGCTGCCGTTTTTCTGTTCTAAGTTCTTCAGGGCTCAGTGCAGTTGACCTTTTTCGTTGTAAAGGGCACGTCTTTCCTCTGCTAGTACTCTAAGCGGCAGGGTTCCAGCATTGACCCACACTGCTTCTTCTGATATTGTGCGGAAGGCACTGGCAACTCTCAGAGTGCTCTGTCTGTAAATTAGACCCGCTTTTCTTCAAGATTCTTGCGTTTCTGATGCGTCAGCCCAAATGGATATACGATATGTGAGCACAGATGTTACTACTGATGACAGCAGTAGTCTTCTGCTCTGCTTTGTTCCACCAACGTTGGGCATCAGTCGTGCTAGGCTCGCTCTAACTACTGATGCTTTGGTAGTCACATGTTCGACTTGTTGCTTGAAATTGAGTCGGGCATCAAGCATCACTCCCAGGTACCGAATGTACGGTTGTTATGTGATCTCATGTTCTCCAACTTGTAACTTGATGGTTTGTATCGATTTCCTGCTGGTAATGAGCACTGCTTCGGTTTTATGCTTAGCTAGTTGTAAGTTCACCGTATCCATCCATAAGTTAATCCGTCTAAATGTAATGTCGAAGGCCAGATTTATCTCTTCAAGGTGCTTCGCGACAATCACCACAGCAACGTCATCTGCATATACTACCAGTTTCACTTTTGCTGGCAATGCTATTTTCAGGAGACCATCATACATGATGTTCCATAGCAGAGGACCTAGAACTGAGCCCTGTGGTGCACCACCAGTAATATCATACTCCTTAGGACCACTTTTCGTGTCGTATTTGAGGACTCTGTTTGAAAATTAGCTTGCTACCATTCTACGCAAACACCCTGGGACTCGTTTCTCTTCAAGGGCGCGCATTACACAGTCCCAGTTAGCAGAGTTAAAAGAATTTTTGATGTCTAATGCAGCCACTAAACAATACTTTTTTGTGCCGCGATTCCATCTCTTTCCAGCAATCGCATCCTTAGCTGTGTTGACGACCAGGTTTATTGCAATCCAGGGTGACCGTCCTTTTCGGAAACCAAATTGGTTGTCTGCCATGAGTGGGTCGACTATTGCATTTATTCGTTGATGAATTATGCCCTCAAATATCTTACTCGCCGTATTTAGCATGCAAAGTGGTCGGTAAGATGACGGTTCTTCTGGTGGCTTTTTCCCTTTAGGTAACAGTACCAATCATTGCTGTTTCCACTTAAGAGGAAAAGTCCCCTTCTTGAGGCATGCATTACAAGCGTCTAGGAATAATGTTGGAGCTGCCTTTATGATGCTTTTCAAGGCTAAATTAGGGATTCCTTCCAATCCCGGCGCTTTATTATTCCCTACACGGTTACAAGCCTCCAGGAGTTCTTCTTCAGTGACAGGTGGGATGTCATTCAATTCGCCTGGTGCCAACTGGTAATCGAAGTTGCGTTGCTGTGGATACAGTGCAGTGACGATTTTGTGAAGAAGTTGAGGACACGTAGGTGATCCCGAGTAAAAACAGAATTCTGCCGCACCATAGCCGCAACACCGCTGCACGACTTTTTTAGCACCGCACCGGCGCTGCACTACAGCTGTGACAATTTTGATTATTTTTCAAGTGCTGCATCACCGCCGCACCACCACCGTGACAAGTAAAGAATTTATCTATCCGCCGCACTACCGCCGCACCAGCGCCGTGACAAGTAAAAAAATTTCTATTCGCCGCACCACCGCCGCACCACAGCTGTGATATTTTGTTGTAAATTTTTTTTTATTTTATTTAATATTCATTTATGTCCATTAATCAATCTGATGATTCTATAATAATGATAGTTTCTCTTATTTATTTTTCAATTAATAAGTTTTTCAATTGCTAATTACAACAATTTTTTATAAATAATTTATTTCTCTCACCATGAACCGTAGAATCTTCAATTATTGATTATTTTATTTTGTAGTGCAATTGAATAATTGAACAAACTTTTCAATTCGTTAATTTCTATAATTAGTGTTCACAAAACACACATATTAGCCAAATATTGTATTCATATGCGGTTTTAATTAGTACATACATCAGTTATCAGTTCTGTTAAATCAAAGTTTTATACATATTATGCAAAAATAATTTTCAATTATAATTAAGGTAATTTACTAGTTAATATTTTTTATTTCTATTTGCAGGACAGCAAAGTAATTACTTACTGAGCACTTATTTTTAGAATTAATTGTAAATTAAAAGTTGTAATCTGTACGTCGTACAGAGACTGAAATTTAGCCACGAATGCTGTCAATAGCTCCTCACTGAGATTGATACTCTCTGGAGATATAGATTTTTGGTTTAAAATGTAAATTCCTGAGACTAACTGGACATAATGTTTTAGATAATCTTTACCCATTAGGTCCTCTAACAACGGAAGTGAATAGAAAAATAAAAAATTTTTCCACTCACTAGCCTTCCAGTGATTGGAATGAGTTGTTAAATCCCGCGGCATTCTCTTCACGAAACTTGGTGGCTTGATTTTTTTGAGTCGTTCATCAATTATATCTCGATGGGCATATAACGGCCACGGTTTATGACGATAACTACTATCAAACCATAGTTTTGCTAGAAGTTTAGTTACATCTAAATAAACACAATGCATTATATCTATCGAAGTACCACGGATCATGTCAGGCATTATTTTATTAAGAATTGATGAACATTTGACACCAAACACTGCTGATTTACTTTTTTTAGCTGCCAAAACATAATTGTCATAGTTTGCAATATCTCTTGCAATCAATATCCCTTCAAAATGATATATATGGGTGTTTCCGAATACACCATCTTCTCTTATGGTATATCCTTTGCTGAGACATCTTGAACAGCCGTAATTACCATTAAATCTACTATGACATAAAAAGTCTGATCTGGCCAAAGCATCACACGTTCCACAAATAAGACTTGCTTTAACTAATTGAAGTTGATCTGAACCAGGTATCCTGAAATTAACTCCAGTATGGAGCTCTACCATTTGATTGTATATAGGTTTTAAAAACGAATTTACTGCAGGATCAGAAGGTCCAAATCAACGTCCTGCGACTATTATGTTTCTTTTGAAATCCGTTTTTTGTAAGGCAGTTCATTTATAATAAAATAAAACGGCCATACGCTGTACGTCCGTGATTTAAAAACTGGAGCACCATCAGTGTACCACATAAAAGTTATATTAAAAATGCCTGAAAGGGGATTAAATTCGGCAACGTGTTGTTTATACAGAATCCCATCATATATATCTTCAATATAATTATCTTGTTCTTTTATACGTCTATACGGATGACTTAAGGCCTCGCCAAACTCCGGTTGAAGCAATAATTCTTGCATTTGACAGAAAATTGGAATTTCTATGAAATAAAAAATTTCTGGTCTACGATTTTTTATTGAATCGTTTCCATGAATATTGTCAAGATTAATATTAATATCATTTGCACAGGGACATAAGGAGTCTTTCGTATCTAAACTTCATGCAAGCACTACAATAGTAATGTTTAATTAACGGTGCTTTACTGCCACTGAAAAACTTCATAAATATATGAATAGTTTTTTTGTGATGGGAGTTTGGAGGCAAATGTAAAGATATTAATGACAGAAGATCAGAAAATGCACATCCAGTTAAGTTGTGTCGGATAGCATATGTAAATATACTCAGCATACTCTCAGACAGTGTTATTGCTGCATTATCGTAAAGTAAAGGATCGACATCAACATTTTCATCCATATTGTTAACGTTTTCATTTGCATTATCATAACCTTCGCTATTATTATCATCATTTTCACCGACATTATCACTGTCATTATCTTCACTATTATTATCATTATCTTCATCAACGACATTATCACTGTCATCATCGAGATC